TCCCTAAGCTTCGGGTGCCTCTGGGAGATGAAGGTGTTATCACTTCACAGGATTATTGTGAGGCTTGAATGAAGTCCTGTCTTTGAAGTTCTTGGCAGAGCCCCTGGCCTGTAGAAGTGTTCAGGCACTCAGCTGTTACTGTTATCCTCCACCCTAACTGGTCTTCGTCTCTGTTCCTGCTGTTGGTTCAGAATGACTTAGCAGAACTGTTCCTTACCTACTAGGTGATTTTTTTTAATGACTCCAAGAACTTATATTGGAACTGACTTTAGAGGTTTTTAAACCATTCACCTTGACCAAAATCAAAGCTACTTTTTATTAAGTGCCGGTCGCACGTGACGTCTAGTTTTTACCACTCGGTGCAGTCAGGTGTTGCTGAGGCTCTGAGATATAAACACACTTCCCTAAGCCCTCCCGGCGAGGAGCGCCATGACTGATACTTGAACTCTGCCCATTCCTGTCCCAAACTTCAGATTTGTCATTATAACAGATTGCTTCCACAACCCCCTGTATAAAATGAAATAAAATAGAATATGAAAAAATAAAAAAATAAAATTCCTTGACGTATGTTTCTCAGCCAGTAGTTGAACAGGTATTTCCAGTGACTGGGAACCCCCTACTTTGCAAGGTAGCCCATTTCATTGCTGAATAGTCAGGTTAAATACTTCTGTGTTTCGTGCTGAAACCTGATCCCTCTATCTTCTCTCCATTGATTTTTTTTTTTTCTTTAAGAAATACAGAGAACCAGTCTAACTTCTTTTTTACCTGATAGTCCTTTAAACCTTTAAATATTTGAACGTAACTGTTGCGTCTCCGTCTCCCATTGTTCTCCTCTCCCCCGCACGAAGGACGAGTTTCTCCATTCTGGTCCCTTTCGTTTTGGAAATGAACGGTAACTACCCATGCTCTAGACACCATGCATACCAAAAGCTCGCCGTCCCAGCTTTACCCCTCTGGACTCAGATCTGGATGCTTCACTGTCTTGGTAGCCCTGAATAGGGTTAGGTTTTCCTTAAACAGCTGGAGAGGTGCCAATGGAGAGCTTTGATGTTAAGTCAGCCTACCGTGAGTAGTGAGCCTGGCTCTTTGCTTCAAAGGTCACTCATTCTTGAATTAAGTATCTGTAGAGTACCTGTATGTTAGCTCCCCCCAAGGCCTCCTTATTGGTCTTTCTCCTCCTCAGTCTCTTGAGGTCGTGAGCAAGGCTGGGAGAGGGCCCTTTAGATTTGGTTTCTCTCCTCCATGGTCTCTGCTATTGTTAGGAGGACAATCCTGGTGTTTGAGAGCGCATCAGAGACTTTTGCCTTAATGAAAAAGTTTGGGGAATTTTATTGTTTTCTCGTGAAAATAGCCTACAGAAAAATCTAGAGCACTGGAATACTTGAAAAGCAAATTGAATGTTTATCTTCTTATAGCTATGAAGACTCCTAAGTGTCAAATCATATTTTGTAATCAAATTCCTGACAGCAGCATTATCCAGGCTTCCCATGCAGTGTTGTGGGGTATTAGGAGCAAGGTCAGTGCAGCGGGACTGCCTGGCTTTGAATTCCAGCTTTGCTGCTTCCTGTCAGTGAGACGTTCGTTTCCTCACCTGCTACAGTGGGGTTAATAATAGTTCCTGCCTCATAGGGTTGCTGTTTATCACTACAAAGCACTTTAGAACACTGGCAGGTAATGTATGCTTCCAAAATGCTGTTATCGTGGCTGTTTTATCGTTTGAGGTAATAGTTTTCATTTCCTCACCCAGAAGAAGAAATAGTCATGACATAAACAGATGTTCTTCAGAAGGCAACCCCATCTTCAGTAAGCTACTTTTAATTTTGGGGAGACACATAACTAAACGTTTTTACTATACTCTACTATTAGAGAACTACCTGGATCCACCTTGTTTTTCATGGAATTTAGTGTCCCCAATCTTTAAGAACTGTTGGAAATGTGTTCTCAAGTTGTCCTTTGTTAGGGTTAGAAGTGCTTTCTTGTACCGAGATTGCGGGATTCCCGCTACTAAATGTTTAATCGTGCACAGAAATGCGTAGTGATGCCACTTGTCCCCATTACAGACTCACCCCCTGCCCTGCAGTGGGAGCATCAACCCCACTTGGGTGTCTGTTTCCCAGTTAGACATTCTGGATGGATTGGTCTCAGTGTGCTGGCTTCCTGCTCTCTGAGGAGTTGGAGTGACCAGGGAAACTGATGCTGCTTTTGATATAATGATCTGAGGAGCCCCGAGACTATTTCAGTTATAAACTAGGGGAAGTGGTAAATAACTGAACGCACTTTCTGGTATTGTTGAGAGTAATCTTGGCTTACGATAGCTTTAGCAGTGGGTCTAGCGATTCAAACAAGACTGTGTTCATTTACTTTCAATTGAATACATACTGTGGTCATTTTTCACTACAGGGTGTTTAACAGTTGGTTTCGTCCTTCCTTTTAAATTGGAGACACTTGTGCAGAGGACCCCTTTTTGTTCAATACATTGTAATTTGTTCACTCAGTTGGTTTTATACAGTACCTGTCACTGAAGATTATGTCCCTGGTTTATTGAGTACCTGCTATATCTAAAGCATTCTGCCCACACCATAAGTAGGATGAGCAGGACACAGTCTCTTTTTCCTGGCAAGGAGGGGGAAAGACAGGAATGTAAATAACTGATTATAATGTAGGATGGAATAAGACAAGCCTTATAATTGAGGTTCAGGCAGGAGGCCGCATGATCAGATCAGTTATTTGCAGTTAGGAGGCCTGGTTATATTTACCTAAGTGGTGGCATTTGAGCCACCAAGTGGTAGGATTTCAGGAGCTAGAGCAGAAGGCTGTAATCTCCGCCAGGTGGAGGGAAGAGTGTGGACAAAGGCCCGGATGTGTGGAAGGTCTGTCCAGGCTGGGCCTGGGGTGCCCTAGACCAGGCTGAGAGTAACTCCTTGTAGGGTCTGGAGAGCCTTGCTTTGGAGATAGATCTTTACGATGAAAGGTTTCAGCTGAGGGTGACTGAAGTCAGATTTGAGATGCTGAAAGACAGCTGTTGACGTGTGCAAGGTGGATGCAGAGGTCAGAGAGGAGTGCCAGACTGACAGTTGGGCCCATGGTGGCCATTCAGCCGTGGTCTGAGGAGGCCTTGAACCAGTGGTCAGGAATAAAAAGGAAAAGATGCATTTGACTGAACTTTCAAAGGTCCAAGTGGCTTAATGTAGTAACTGGTTTACTCTGGGGGAAAGGAAGCTGGAAAAATTGAAAATGACAGGTTTCTAGGGTAAGTGACCGGGAAAACAGCATGCTAATAATTAAGCTTTGAACATGGGAGAAGGACCAGGTTTGAGGGCTGGGTGGGAGACATATAGTAGGGGATTTAGCGACGTGTGATTTTATGGCCTTTACAAGATACCCCCATGAGTATATTCACTGAGCAGTTAGAAATTCTGGCGCAGCAGATAGGAGTGAGAGACTTGGATCTGGGAGTCAAGCCTTATAAGAAATCTCATAAGAAGACCTAGGGAGGGGAGGTCTTTGCCTAGGAGAGTTGAGTGGGAAGACCTGAGGACAGAGGGCTGACACGTGCCTCCTATTTAAGGAGTGAGTGGAAGAAATACTAGAAAGATTAGGGTCCCAGACGAGAGTTCCAGGCCGGATCAACACTGGCAGATGCTATAACCGAGAAGAGGCTTTTGAATAGGATAAGAACTCTGATTCTTATTATTGTTTTGCCTTTAAAAATGTTTTATTGTAGACACTTTCAAACCCCATAAAAGTAAGGATAAAGATATGATGACCCACGGTGTTCCCACTATACAGCTTCAATTATTATCAATATTAGTCTTCCTTTATCTCCCCACCTTTCTGTGGGAGGAGAAGGGAGATAGGATACTTCAAGGCATTTTCAGATTCATGTCATTTCTCCCACACTTTAGTTTGCACTACTTCATGAGGACAGTTAGTTTTCATAAAACTGTAAGTCATTATCTCACCAAAGTTAAAAAAAAAAAAAAGTTAATTCCTCAGTATCATCTAATAAAACTTTTAAATTTAAATAATTTAAAGTCCTTGAAAGCCACATCCAGGATGCCTTTTAATTTCATAGACATTAGATCTCACTCTGAGGGCCCATTTGGGAAATGGACAGAGTGTCTTGAGGAAGAGAATATAATACTCTCTGCAGAAGGGATGCCTCTCCTACACAGCACATGATGGGTTTTGACGGGAGACCGTGTTTTATTTTTTGATACACTTATCCGCTGAGAATAGCAATAGAAATCTAAGGTTGGGCTTCCTGTCCTTAGATCATATGAATTAAAACATATATCCAATGGCACTGCCACAGTTTTGCCACCTCTGATGCATGTACCATCCAGTTCCTAATTCTAGAGTATTGGTCCTCAATCGGGACATATGGTCCTCTCTGGAGACATTTTTGATTGCCATGGCCTTGCGGAAAAGGGGCTACCAGCATCCAGTGGAAAGAGGGTAGGGATGCATAGGACAGCCCCCATAACAAAGGCTTAACCTACCCCAAATACCAATAGTGTAGAGGAATAGCACATTCCTGAGCAGAGCCACCCTTTTCAATCTGCTGTTACCTCACATGTGTGTGAACCAAGTTACCGTTAAAAATTTTTCTGTGTTCTTTGGAGAGAGGTTAATGTCCCTGTAGGTGCTTTTCCTTTGATCATCTGCATCCCCTAAGCAGGGTTTGTCCAGATCTTTGAGCCTGCCAAGCTTCATTCTAGGTTTTATTTTCCTTGTGTCTTTGGACTAGAGCAGAACATGGAAGTGATTTGGTTTCTTTGGGTAAGAAATTTAAGGAATGTACTTTCTCAAGACATGTTCACCAGTCTGAACAAAGTTCTCTCTTTGGAAGGAGATAACTTGGGAGTGCCACTGAACAAGTGTGGGGCTTAGTAAATCAAGATATAATGTATATATTTCTTCACCCCGATTTGAAATTGAGCAGTCATTGGTAGTAAATGGGAAACATAAATGAAGTATTTCACCTTCTTTGTTTGCAGGAAATACAATTGGAGCATGCGAAGCAAGCCTTTGTTCAAAGGGACAATGCCAGGACCGGAAAGGTCACAGCCATTGACTTCCGAGACATCATGGTCACCATCCGCCCTCATGTCTTGACACCTTTTGTAGAAGAATGTCTTGTAGCTGTAAGTTGTTTTTTAACTTCTATTGGAGTATAGTTGATTTACAATGTTGTGTTTGTTTCAGGTGTATAGCAAAGTGAATCAGTTATACATATATCCACTCTTTTTTAGATTATTTTCCCATATAGGTCATTACAAAGTACTGAGTAGAGTTCCCTGTGTTATACAGTATGTCCTTATTACTTATCTGTTTTATATATAGTAGCGTGTATATGTCAATTCCAATCTCCCAATTTATCCTTCCTCCTAGGTTGTAACTTGCCATAATGAAATAGTTTATTCTACCTGGTGTAAGCTCAGTAAATAAGGGATTGTAAGAACAAGTCTTACAGATTATGTTTAAACACTAACATTTTTTTATTTTCTTAGTGATATCGCATCCATTACCAAACTTACAGAGAGTGCTTTGCCAGTTTTAGTGGGTAGGTTAACTTGTTACCTGGATGATATGGACTATCTTAAAGAAATGTATTAACTGGCTTTTTTAAAAAGGAAAAACAGACATATAATCGCATATTAATTTGCTTTATATTTTGAGGTATGTTAAATGCTGATCTTTGCTTTTACCTGTTCTCCAAGGCAAAGTGGTTTTTGTAAACAGGTAGTGCGCATAGATGTATTTGAGGTGTCAGCAGAACAGGAACTCTAACCCTTGGATTCACTCATTCATTCAGCATGTGTGTGGAGGCGACACTGGCACATGCAGTGGGCGGAGGCTTGCTGCCCTGTGTCGTGGCGCTTCCCTCCTAGTGGATGTCCAGCCACTCTCCTCCTTCATGGACCCTGAGGGTGTCCTGGAACATTCTGTGGTGGTGGTTCCCAAGCCTTGGTCACGGAGCTTAAGAATCATCAGGGATAGTTATTAAAAGTGCGGATTCTGAGGTCTCTTCCAAGCCTACCCATTCACCATCCACAGGTGGTAAGGTCCTAGAATCTAATTTCTGAGGCCTCCTAGGTAATTGTGATGATCCCCCAGATTTGGGACCCTTATGCAATGGTAACTCTTCCTTTGTTAATCCCAGGGAGAGGACTTTTTGAGTGTTTTCACCATCACCTGAGTTTGCCCCAATGCTTACCATAAGGGGAGCTTTTCATTCTTCCTCTTTTTCTTTCTGGTCTCTCTCTTTGGAGATGCGGTGATCTGACAAGGCCTTTTCCACTCCGGCACTGTGTTAATCTCGCTCCTTTTCTTGGCCCCCCCTTCGCTATCCCAGCTCTCACATCAGCTATTTCAAACGAGTAGTAAGTGAAGATTTATGTGGTTGTTACCTTATAAAGAAGTGCTTTCCTAATAAAAATATTTTGCCTTGTTAGGGAAGGCAAGATATTTGAAACCTCAAACTGGAGTTCCATTCATAATGGACATGCTGTTTTCCTTGTCCCCATGAAGAAATATGGTTTCTTACAAATTCTGCTTATCAGAATTCTGACCAGTCTTAACCCTCATCAAAGCATATGACATCTCATAATTTTACCACAATATGCTTGTTTGCTAGAAATCCTACCAATATAAAGTCTGTACTTAATGCTGATTTATTACTACTTATAAGTAACATGACAAATCATGATATTAATGTTAGATTGACCACTCTTCTTAGTATGTTTGTGTTAGTATAATAGAGTTTTGCATGTATAAGTATACACATGTGTGCATGTGTATAATAGAGTTTTGCATGTCTAAGCTTTTAAGGATTGCTCATTAGATGAAATAAACAAACTTATAAAACATTTCCAATTGAAATTTGAACTCTGTAAATTACTACTGGTTCTGTTGTTATAATCCTACACATGTATTTAGTTTTCTAGGACTTTGTGGAGAGTACAAGTTCTGGTCATGATTAGTTGCAGTTACTTCTAAAAATCATTTATAGCTTTTTTTTAATGTGAAAGAAAAATGCTTATAAACATTTCTTTCTATACATGCTTTCTTGATTACTTCCAAAACTAGCATTTGATGTACATACTTCTGAATCTTCTTCATTCTATAAATGCTTTGTTTATTTTTCTTCTCCCCCCTCTTATTTTCAACTTATTTGAGGCTGCTGGAGGTACCACGTCCCATCAAGTTAGTTTCTCCTATTTTAATGGATTTAATTCACTCCTTAACAACATGGAACTCATTAGAAAGATCTACAGCACTCTGGCTGGCAACAGGAAAGATGTAGAGGTGACTAAGGGTAAGTGAGAATCTGAATTCTTGCCTGCAACTATCTTGGTGAGTTATTATTAGGGTAAAGAAGACAACCAGGAGTTTACGTTATAAATTTTTCTGTCCCACTGACACATATTAACCATATGGTACATGTGTGTTCTCCACCCTTAGATCAGACAAAACAATCTTCAGCACATTTTAAATAAACCCAAGACGGTCTTTGAATGAGGGAACCATGTAAAGTTTCTTAAATGTTTTCAAATCTTACTAAAACCTGAGCTAAATTGGCATCCTCTAAAGTGACCTTCAAAAGTACACAAGGAATTCCATAAACTTACACTGCTGACAGTGTGTGTTGATTGACAATCTCTGATCAAGATATCAGCATTTTAATGGGATTTTTTTTTTTTAAACAGAGAATTCCCTTCGGAATTCCACAGCTCCATTAATATTACATCCTGGGACCTATGCATATTGAGTTTCATATCTCCTTCCTGGTTTTCCCTGACCCGCAATTTGAATGGCTTCCTGTGTCATTTATTCAAAGCCTTTGGATGACACCAAGCTTTTAGAGTCAATATTAGAGACGCTATTCTGTACACTCTTTCCAGATAAAGGAAAGAACTGCAAAAATTCTTACCCTATTTGGATTGACTTGAATTCTACGACTGTTAATAATAAAGTTTGGTGATGTTCGCTCATTCCTGTGCCTTGAGTTAATGCTGCATTTAGCGGCTATTCCTTCTTGAATCTTTCCCTTTTAACTCTTTTTCCATACAGAGGAGTTTGTTCTGGCAGCTCAGAAATTTGGTCAGGTTACACCCATGGAAGTTGACATCTTGTTTCAGTTAGCAGATTTATATGAGCCACGGGGGTAAGTTGCTCTTTTTTTTTTTTTTTTTTTTTTTAATTAGCTTAATAAAGGGAGGTTAGGAGGTGGGGTAGGAGGACCGCAGCAAACCTGGAGAAAAAGAAGCCATATTAAAGATGACTCTGAAATGTGGGAAACAAGAAAAGAAACGTTTTAAAATTCCATAATGTAAATTTTAAAAAATTTGTATTCTGTTGTTGCTTGTGCTCGCTTTTCCCTCTAGACGTATGACATTAGCCGACATTGAACGGATCGCTCCTCTGGAAGAGGGAACTCTGCCCTTCAACTTGGCCGAGGCCCAGAGGCAGGTGGGTAACAGGGAGCACACTTGCTTCCTGGTGTTTCTTTGATAGCGTCACCCAACCCCTTTTCACGTGCAGTTGCCTTTTGGACACTGGTCTCTGACCTACCATTTCTTTGTTTTCCACCAAAAATCCAGACCATTTCAAAAGGCTGGAAAGAGAAATTACTTAGAGATGTTCTGAGAAACAGATAATTGGCATTTGCTTTTCCTGTGAAAGATGGGGTGATTTCTTAACCGCCTTAGAAGCCTAACCCTTCCAAAAGAGGCAGAAGATCTTCTTCCCTCAATCTTGTGCTGGGAGAGGTGGGACTGGAGTCCCGTTTTGGTGTCACCGTCCCAGCATCGTGTTGTGAAATGAAAGCTGGGCTCTGCCCCACAGAGAGGCACTTCATCAGGGCATCGCCCAACTGCCATGCCTGCCGGTTTTCTGAATATCAAAATGAGATAATTTTGTTTAGTCTGAAGTCATAGTTTGAAGGCTTTTAGACCTATTTTCTTTGTGAAAGGACTCATAAGTTATGTGGAAACAATTTGAGGAATGCTAAATTTTATTTTATGGTTAACAGAAACCAACCTCTTGAATTTGTGGAAGTCAGAAACCGAAGACCTGGGACCTCTTACATTTAACTCTTACTCGGCTTTCTATAGGTCAGGGTTATAGAATAAAAGCCTCCAGAGCATGTGTTGTGCTTACATGGTGTTTGTAAAATAAATCCACTCACAGACAAGCGTCGTTTTAGAAAAATACCTCCTTTAAGGCAAAGCCATCTCCGAATCCTGTGAGACTTAACAGTTTTTGGCTGGGAGCTCCGGGTCTGTACAGAGACGCCAGTTTGACCACAATGGGTTGATGCGGGCTGCATTTTTAGGACGGGCAGGCCTCGGGCCAGGACGCCTTCCTTTCAGCTCTTTCCCACCCGATGGCAGCGGCAGGTTTTGTGTGCAGCATGTAACTCAGAACGGTGGGTGTGCACTCAGTAAACCCTAACTAGGCACCTCTGGAAAACCAGCTGGCTGCCGTTAAAAGAGGAAGCCGATTTCCCCGAGTGCAGGAGAGAGAACTGTATAATCACGTGCAGAGGTGGAAGCAGCTCCGCTCTCCCCCGCTTTGATTTTTAAACAGTGCTTACCAGATGATTATCTCTTCGTCTCTGTGCTGCTATCTCCTGTAGAAATTTGGGGATTAAGAAAAAGGAGAGAATTTTTTTTTTAAAGATTCCTCCTGTTCTCCAGCTGGCAGTGGTATCCCACAAGTTTTCCTCTATGCACTCTGCAGCTTTTGAGAGTTTCAGATGATGGGTGCTTGTGGATCCTGGCCATGAAAGGGTTAGACGAGATTGATGAGATTTATAGCAGGAAATGATTGGCTGCTGCTTAGAGGTTTAGAGCAATTCACTGGGGGCTTGCCTGGAATATTCTTTACTATGTGAACCCCAGTGGGCCTGACAACATCGACAGTCTCAAGCAGTGGAGGTCATCTACCTGGTAGGCTAGGTGCCAACATTTATCCTCCACAGAGTGCAGGAGGAGGAGTCTGTCTTGTGTCATTTTGTGAGCACGCCACATTTCTAGCTTTAGAAAAGTTAAATGAAAGTCTGGGATTTCATTTATTTTGTCTTTGGATGAGTTAGTGATAGTGGTAGGTTCCTCCCCACCAACCTATTATTTTCAAAGTATTTTCACTCACTGTTTTGATGCCAGCACCTTTCTAAGTACTGCATATTTATATCCGTGTAAATAAAACAGTGCCTTTCTAACGGATGCATCTGTCAAAATGAAGTTACTATGGTTAACAGATATAGATGGAAATCATCCATCTATACGGAGATAGCGTTGGATGCACCCCATGGAATCTGCAGAAGAGATGTTTTACTTTCTTAAAGATGCATATTTCTATGTAAAGCTGTTTTTCAGTTAAATAACTTTGAAGGAGATTCCAAATTATCTCATTGTATTAGAATTGTGCTACATTGACAGCAACTAAAACCCAGTGGGTTGATAGCTGGGATTGGTCATTATTTTCATTGTTCACCGATCTTAATTATCGTGGTTTTGAAAAAACAAGTGTTACTGAATGTATTTATTCATTCAACAGGTATTTATTAAGCACCAGCTATATGCCACCCTCATGTGACAGCTCTGTGTGACATAAAATTGCTATTTTATTTATGTAGACAGAGAATGGAAATACTCTGAAATGTTCTGGCATCCAAAACACTGTAAGAATAATAGGTCAAAGGAACAATCATAATACAACAACTGACTGGCCTGAAGTATGAATTTAGAGAAGATGGACAAAAAAGGGGAGAAAGTATCAAATCACCTGTAGTACAACCACCTAGTTGTAGCCACTGTAAACATTTGGATATCTCTGGGTGATGAGGTAGCCAAAATGTTAGTGTTATTATTATATGCATACACATACCGAAATAACTTTTTAAAAAATAGCATAGTCACACACAGTCTTTAACATTGGTTTTAAAAGATTATCATGAAACATTTTAAAAGGTAAAGAAAATCATACCATGAATACCTGTCTACTCACCATATTCTTTTTAGCCTGTTTTTGCTTTATAATACCTTATGAACACTTTTCCTGAGCATCAAATATCTTTTACAATATTGCTTTTTAATGACATACAATTTTGTTTTAAAGCTATAGCATTATTTTTAACCAGTCCTGCATTATTGAACATTTAGGTATTCTCAGAGTTTTTGCTCTTAAAACAGTACTGCTTTTTAATATTCTTGTAGCTTGATCCTTGTTTATATATATGATTATTTTCTAGCCTAACTTTTTATAAGTAGAATTGCAGGGTCAAAGTTCAGGTACATTTTAAGGGTTTTGGTGCGTATTGCCAAGTTTCCCTTCAGTTTATGCTTGATTAAATGGCAGATTTGAGAAGCTCTGTTTTTTTATCATCTCTTACCAGGTTGGATATTGCCATTAAACAAACAAACAAAAAACCCCCCAACCTACCAATTTGACAATTTGATTGATGAAGAATGACGTCTCATTAATGTTTTTAAATTTGTATCTCTTTGATCACTAATGAGAATTGAACATTTGAAAATGGGTTCATATTCATAACATTTTGGGGGCACATAACAGCTTTCATTATATTCAAACTTGATTTTAAAAATTAATAGCAATAATTACTTTTTATTAATAAGAACTTACAAAATCTAATCATACCTTCCTCTTTGACATTTTAGTTGTATCATGAGTTTAGAACCCAGTTGTAACTTTAAAAAAATAGTATGTGCTCATTTTTGTTCTGTCTTCCTTTCTGTCTCCCGTTTTCTCACTCTGCAATTCCTGTGCGTGCAAAGAAGAAGGCCACAGTCGATTCATCTCGACCAATTCTCCTACAAATTGCAGAGTCGGCCTACAGGTTTGGTCTGGGTTCTGTTGCTGGAGGTGAGTCATGGATGAGTGCAAATTTTTCATTTTTGTTATTCCTCTTTTTCCTCTGATTTTCCACCTTGAAATACTGAAGGACAAAGCCTCCTCTGGTCTTTCCCTGAGCTAGTTACCAGTCTGTATCTGTGTGATAGGATAATAGCAAAGGGAACTTTTTCCTCATACCTACGTCTGATCAGGGACTTAGAAGTGACTTTTTTCTCTTATTTATCTGCAGACAGGCTTTCTAGAGACAGGTTAATAATGAGGTTAGGCTATAGTGATGTGCTTTTTAAAATTTGAACTGTCTGTGATATCCTTTTATCGGGAGAGACTTGAATGAAAATCCACAGTTATTTATTAAGGGTGTAGAGAGCTTTAAAACTTATATATACAAAATTTGTTTTTTTCTTCCACATCTTCTCTTTGATGTTAACCAACTCCCCCTTTCCTCTGACCTTAATTTCTTCTGAAATATTGTTATTCCTTGATTTTAGCTGTTGGAGCCACTGCTGTGTACCCTATCGATCTGGTAAAAACTCGAATGCAGAACCAGCGATCCACTGGCTCTTTTGTGGGAGAACTTATGTATAAAAACAGCTTGGACTGTTTTAAGAAAGTGCTACGCTATGAAGGCTTCTTTGGACTGTATAGAGGTTAGTGCCATGTGCTAAATTCATGAAAGGGGAAATAGTAGTCAGAGGTTTGGTTTTTCCATCTGAATGCCTGAAATGTATTAGAGAGACTGTGTTAAAATGGAAATACAGCAGATTCTCAATTATCCATGCTAATGGGCGTAGGCTGGAGGCATCTAGGGCATGGCTAATCAAAACAGCCCATAATCTGAAAGCCATTTATATTGCTCTGCCATATGTTTTATTTCTTAAAAGTAATTATTTTCATAACCATCTCTAGTGAGTTTTTAAAAGGCTTGTATTGTTTGTGTTCTTGAACTAACTCTACTCACCACCTAACAGGGAAAGGCAGCTGGGGGACAGGACAGAGCCTCCTTGGGACTAATGATTCTCCTTGAATATTCCACAAAAATGTCTATCAGGCCAGTACCCAGGGGTTCAGTGCAGCGCTCGTTCCTTGACTGTCTCTTTCTGAGTTAAGGTTGCCCCTTTCCCTTCCTCTGACTCTGAACCCAATGGAGTTGATTCACATACCACTCTAGCCAGGCAGTCCTTCTCTATCCAGCTGCTTCTGTAATCACCTAAGGCTCATTAATCAACAAGAACAGTAGCAAGAAGTATGTCATCACAAATGGAAAGGATCCCACAGACCCTGACTGCCTGACCACCGGCACTGGCCTAAAGGACATGACTTAAGTTCCCAGCCACTCCCTCTGTGATTGCCTTCTACAGAGAGAAGAGAAGTAACTGTATTTGCATCAGCTAAAATCCAGTATCGTGAGGCAGTTCCAGCTAAGCCACTTTGCCATTTGGCGACTGCAAAGCTGACGGGGTCTTCCCTCCCTTCCCCTACCAGGAGATAGTATTTAGTACTCTGCAGAGACAGACCTTGAAGCCGTGTAAGCAGCCGTGTAAGCAGCCGTGTAAGCCTGTGCCTCTAGGCCTCTTCTGCCATCTGCTGATTCTAGTCTTCCTCTTAAGCACCCAAGTTAAAAATAAAACAACAACAAAGACCCCTCTTGAAATCTCTCACCTTAGAAATGAGGAGGTTTCAAACCCCAGAGAAGTTCCATTTTGCAGGTTCTTTTGTGTAGGGAGATAACCTCCATCAAAGGCCTTTTGATCTTTCCTCTGCCCTCTTTCCCTCACCCCCTGCGTCTTCTCACAATTGGGAAGGTCTTTGACCCCAGGTGATTGATGATGACCCTTACAGGGTCACTGCCTTTCATTTGAAATACTTTTCCCTCCTGGTGACAACAAACCTCGCAAATGAAATGTCTCCCGGAGTAGTACAAGGTTAATGTCACAGTTCCTGCTTTGCAGTGATTCAGGCAAAGGCTACTACTACCTGTTCATGTGGGTTGTTTTCTGTGGGCAGAGCTTTGAGCCTCAAACCGGACAAATGTCCCAGCCTTGGCATTGCTTCACACACTACTTTTATGGGCTTCCCTTGGTGTTGGATTAAACGTCAAGGGTGCCTTTAGAATTGTGAGAAATAATTTTTGTCCTGCTGAATGCCTTTAACGTGCTTGTTTTGACCTGGTTTGTTTGAATTTTGAGTCCCTTCTCTTTCCTCTTTGACCACACCTGGTGGGTCTTGATTCTTGGTTGCATCTGGAATTCCTTCCTCAACCTATCCTTTTGACCCCATGGACAAAACAGCTTAAAGCGTACCTGAGTAGTGAGCTACTGTGGGCCGTCCCGTAAACCTCATGCTGTTTCAGTTATATCAGTGAGACTGGCAGAACTGGTTTTAACTCCTCAGGGATGGGGAGTAAGCCGGCCTGTCAGGCAGACATGGAGGCTCCCTTTGAACACCAAAGAGGCAGCCCCTCATCCTTTTCCTGGTTTAGAAAGAGCCATTTATCTAACCTGTTTTGGGTGCCTGATCCCTAAGGGGTTCTCTTGTCAGAGAATGATAAGTAGAGTGTGAATATAAGGTGATTAGTGCTAGGAGTCACCTGTGTTCATTTCTCCCTGACTTCTTATCTCTTCTAGTAGACAATTTTAGAGCAAAAGATGTGCTATAAAGCTTTGTTTAGTTTCTGTTTCGTAATTTGGATCTTGAGAGCAAAGAGGTGATTGGCAGTTTAGGCTTTTGAAAAAATGATATATGGTCTTGCTTCATAAATGAATTATTCCTATTCTTGATTGGTTGGGGACTAATTCCCTTTAGTGCCTTGCACATAGTCATTGATTAATAATTGTGTGTAACTGTATATTTGTAAATGCTTATCATTGGACAAGAGAGGGATCAGATGAAAACGGGAAACTATCATTACCAGCCAAAAATTATAATAGAAACAAAAAAGACCCCAACTATTTCTGAGAATCAGTATTCTTACCTTCGTGTAGAAGGTCAGGATATAAAACACCCAACATGTGATTCTTTGACGATAAATTTCTTATTAAATGTAATTTTGTTTAAAATTTTAATATTCCAGGGGAAAACAGTTAAATTTTAATTCTGAGAATTTAGAATTGCTGCTGTTCACACTCCACCTAGCAATACTTGAGAAGGTGACAGGGTACATCTCTAATTTATAAACATGTTTCAAAATATTGAGCCTATTTTTTCCTATTATGGAATTTTGCTTAACATGTAATTTTTCTGCATCAAGACATATATAATTGCTAATATTTCCCGAAGAGTATAATTTGGGAATGTTGCATAAGTAAGTTCTCTCCCCTATTGTAAAGCTATCTTTATGTATATTTGGAGGAAAAGTTGGCAGTTGGCCCTGAAAGAAGGTGCTTGCAGCATGCATCCTTATTACAAGGTTAATGTAGCATCGCTCTCCCTCTCTTTTTTTTTCTTTCTTACAACAAGAATACGGAACTCTAAAGGAAGCGGTTTTGTATTTAGAAATAGTTCCCTGTGGAGCTCCGAGAGCGAAGGCTCTTTTTGAAGAACTCACTCGGCGCGAGTTGTTTTCCTCTGTCCTTTCTCTGGCAGTTGCCAGCATCTGTGCGCAGTCCTGGAAGTTATCCCATCATAAGCAGGGACCACACTTGAATCACGGCCCCGTCATCAAAAGGTGACAACAGCTATGGGGATTTTCAGCACTGTCTTCAGTTGATGCTGAGTCCTAGGAATTTTAGTGTTGTGAGTTGGTGAGGTCTTCTCTCCATGTTTCTGTGCAGCTCCCTGCTTCTTTGTCTCTCAGAGCCTCTTATCTTTGGGGGGTAAGTTTGGTTGTTAGAAGTGATCCCCTTAGAAATCCTATGAGACTGACTCTGCAACCCTTCTCTATAATGCAGACTACTTTCTTTACAAGAAAATTATTGATTTTCCTAGGTTTTTCTGTAATTTTTGAAATTCAGACCCTTTAGGCTAAGTCTATCTGTATCACAGGAAATAACACCCAAGAAAATCCAGATCTCCCTGAAGTCACTTGTAAAAGTCTTCCTCTATTTCCTCCCCAGTCTCCAGATTGAGTTAATGCACTCAGGTGTTTAAAATCCTTAATGAATTACCTGACAGCTCATTTGGTTTGAATGAACTACATGACCAAACGAGTCAGTTATTGGCTAGCTGTAGACTTGGCATATCAAAGAGAAACAATTGATTGGGTAATCATCCATAATTAAATGCTCTTAACGTTCCAGGAATAACTAATTTCTGCCTCTAAATTTTTGCTACACTCTCCTCTCTCAGATGCTTCAGGTAATGAGATGAGTACCCTTAGAAATTGGAAAATGTTATGGGGAGGGAGGACCACGGGGAGAAAGATGGATTCAGGAGAAATACTTCCTAAAGGAAGGTTTTAGTTTTTATTTCTGTTCATGGGGAAAAAAAAGAAAATCTGCCAGAAAGGGAAATTAGATCACTTTGTGAATTAAACTTAATTTGGAGTACTACTTAGTCTTTGAGGCAGTTGGCAAAAAAAAAAAAAAAAATTTTTTTTTTTTAATCAGCCCATTGACCAGGCTTGCAGAGTTTTAAATGTGTCTATTTCGGGTTGTCTGCGTGATGCAAAAGCAGTCGTCTCCCATCCTGGAATGTTCTCAAGGTGACATCTAGAGGATATTGTGGCGATATCTCAGGAAGTTTTGTCAGATAGCTAGTTTAAGCTATGTCTCTTGGGTGGTTAATGGTTCTGTAGAAGGCAGTATCCAAATTATGTGGATCCACAGTGAGATTCCTTCTTGCTTAATTCTTGTAGATAAAAATAAGTTTAAAAATTCTATCACCAAAATAAAGCACTTGGAGGTTGTACAAGTCTATTTTGCATAACTAAGGAAGCCATGCATCTTGGCACAAACCACAGTGAATCTGTACACTGCACTGAGTCATGGTGTCCATTCATGTCCACCAAAGCTTCTAATGAGTGCAGAATGGTTTGGTTTAGGTCTTATTTTCCTGGCCAATTTCTGCACATTTTCATTTAGGGTGTTAAGTTGTGAGTAGATCAAAAAGCAGGTATTTGGTTATAGGAAATCAAGTGAAAATGAGCAAAAGACTTGGACAGTTCCTGAGCTGGGTAATCAAATCTCCAGAAATCTACCGTGAGCACAAAGCATTAAAAGGGGAGACTAAGGTGACACAGACTTGGAACTAAAGTGGGTGGGAGTATCGTCTGAGGCTTGAGAGGGCTGGATGAGAACAATGATGAGCTTAGAAAATTGGGAAAGATGGAACTAGACATAACCTGGAGAAGAGAAGATTAATTAGTGAACGAATTAGTTCTAGGCCTCAAGAATGATAATTTATTACCAGCTATGGCCAATGCTGAGACTGAGACAGGGGAAATAGATTAAAGCTCAGCAGCAAGGAAATTTAGATAGAAGATAACCAAGACCCCGGAAGTTGCCATATACTAGAGTGAAAACCTGAAGGAGGAGAGGGTGTGATTCTTCTTCCCAATGACCTTCACTTCTAGAAATCCTCCAAATAGAGGAGTCACAGGAACCAAGGTTTTTCTAGACCATAACAGTATCATTCCGTCATGCTTTAACAATCGGTCTCCCAAAGGCATCTCCTGAGCCATAGCTAAAATAATAGATGGTTCTTGACATTT